CTTCTAACATATTTTTCCTGAGAATTTCCTTTGGCTAGTTTTGGTCTTTTTTTATAATGATGGAGTAAACATTTTAATTCAGTAAAAATTATTTCTGTAATATCAGTTGTCATATTGCAAATATTTTTCTAGTATTCCATATCTATGTAGTTAACTTCATTCGTTTTCCTATGCATCTGATATCACATTTTGTGTTAAAATGTATTTCCCTAGCCAGAAGTTAGATTTATGATGGAATACATATAAAAGCTCATATGAATTAAATTAAAAAATATTTTGCACAAAAATGTCTTGAAAGTCGTGTGCATGTTTTCATGTGATTTCCTCGTTCTTGTTTTGAACACTTCTGTATTTTATATAAGCTCTTTAACATACACAATTCTCTTTTTTTTGTAATGGATTTTGAAGAACTTATTTTAAAAGCAAATGCCTGTCTTGCTGCTGAAACTATTTTACAAACTACATGTAACATGTTTTAAACATTCTTCCAAATATTTTGTTCTTTCTGATTTGACCATACTTGCTTCAAATTGAAATTGTGTCCACCATTTCTATCTGAATCTTTAAAATGCCAAGAAGTTTTTTAATGTCTGTGTAATATTTTTCCATTATCTGATATATTTATGCCTGCTTTCCACTTTTTATTCAGATAATTGGTTATTTTTTGCCTATTAAGAACTTAGTTCATTTATTTTCTATGATCTTATTACATATCAAGTATTTTAAGCATAAAAATAATCTTTTTTAAATGCAATCTCTAATTTTCCAGTTTTTGTTCGTTATAGCTGTAAGATTTCGTTAATAATTATTTTTTCATTTTGGCTCTTCAATCAAAAATCAGGTATATGTGAAAAGCTATGTAATTTACCTTTAGGATACAAATACACACACAACTATGTATAGTAAAATACCTTTCAACTTCTTTATTAAGCTTATTATTCTCACATTTCATAAATGGGAATTTTTAGGAGCAGCAAGACTAAGATGTGTATATGATAATGTGTTGCTAGTCATCGGTGACAATGGAATTCCAAAGTTGCCAGTCTGGCTCTGTGAAACACACTCCACCCAATAAATTGTGATTCTTTTACTTCTTCACCTTTAAAATATCTGTTTTATTAACATCCAGAATTTTTTTTAATTGTATTGCATTATGTGACACAGTGTTATAGGCACTGGGATTCCCCCCACCCCTCCCCGAACCCTCTCCCCATGGTGGATTTCTCCACCTTGTTGCATTACCACAGTTCAAATTCAGTTGAGGTTCTTTCGTTGGAAGTATTTACCAAGCATAAAGTCCAGCATCTTATTATCCTAGTGGATTCAACGATTTCTTGGTGAGACCATCTCTGGTCTGAAGGTAAAGCCAGCAAAGTATCATTCCAATCAATTAAAAGCCCCAACATAACATCAACATCAATTTACATTATGGCATTAATTGACATGGTATTGATTAACCAATATGTTAATAGGAAAATGCAGGTTCTTAACTACATCCTGTGACTTCTTCATAGACATTTCAATTTTGGTTTATATTCAACCAGGTTCTATAACCTCAAAATGGCTAGAGATTACTATTCAGCTGTCTCGTGTCTATTTTCATTTTAGTATTTAGCTGTTTATAGTGTTGAAGCATGATTTTGCTGAACTTGGTTGTTTTTTGGATGGTCTGAACTGGCTTATAACTCCAGCAAGACATGTGTCAACAGTTTAAGTACAGAACATTTTTTAGGAGGGGTGTGCAGAGAAATCCCCAATACCCCAGTGAGGCGTAACTAATCTTTGTGTCCCACCTAGTGAGGTATGAGTGAATCCATGCTGACCATTTGCTGTCTGCTTCTAAGCTTTCCTTGTTGTTGTCTGTCCATTCTAGATTTTTTTGTTTATTTGTATATTTGTTCCTTTGTTTTGAGGGGTTTCTGGAGTGATCCTAATGGTCATCGCAAGAGAGGGTGGGGACCCAGAGCTGGAGCTAGGCGAGGACCAGAGAAAGCTCGCCTCCCCAGTCCCAAAGGAAGTTTATTATTCTTCTGTTTCTGCAGACCGCTCAGGGCTCCTGGTTGTCATTCCGATGACGCTGGTTTCTGCACGGCAGAGTTTGGACTTCTTCCATCCCCTGTGGAAGCTCCAGATGGGGGTGGGTGACCTCAGAGTTCTCGGCCTCCGAAGGCACTCCTACTCCCTGTGGTCTCCTTGGCAGTTGGGATGTAGTCCTTGATGTCCGTACTGATAGTCCTTGGTGAGGATCTGGAGAATCTTCAGGGTTGGGATACGAGCCTGCTCCTGTCCACCTGCTCCACTCTGGGGTCTCCCCCCTGCTCCATACGCACGACCTCCTGTTAAGAGGCTGTCAGGATCACTCCCAATTCCCCCCTTATGCCTGTGTAGCCTTACTATTGTCTAGTGCCAACTTGAGTCTGTTGTCTATGAGTTACCAGATTTGATCCTGATAGGCTATATTTCAAGTCTTCCTCACACTTTTTAGGGGGATGGAAGATTTCCCTGCTCTCCCTCCCCATTACAGAATAACATAAGGTATTAAGAGTGTTTTAGGTTTTACACGTCTTTGATGTAGGTCATAAGCAGTCTGTGTCACATTAATTGTTATTTTATAGATTACAATGGCTTATCTTATTGCATTGGATACAGGCTGTCAGAGATTGCAATAATATTACAACATACAGGTACTATTTTCCAGATTGACATATTTTCATCTTAAATTAAGGCAAACATGTGGTATTTGACCTTTGGGGATTGGTTCATTTCTCTTGGCATAATGGATTCCATTTGGGCCCATTTGGCCACAAAAAAAAACTGCATTTCGGGTTTTTTGATAGCTGAATAGTATTCCATGGATTATATGAACCATAGCTTTCGTATCCAGCCTTCTGTTGATGGGCATTTAGGTTGCTTCCAAGTCTTTGCAATTATTGATTGTGTTGCTATAAACATAGGGGTGCATGTTGGTTTCTCATGTAGCAGGTGTTTTGGACATATTCCTAGGAGTGCTGTTGCTGGGTCATATTGTATGCTGATTTTCAGTTGTTTGTGTATCCTCCATACTGATTTCCATAGAGGCTGTACAAGTTTGCAGTCCCACCAACAGTGGAGTAGGGTTTCCTTTTCCCCACATTCTCGCCAGCAAGTGTTGTTGGTGGTGTTTTGTATGTGTGCCATCCTTGCTGGCATTAGGTGGTACCTCATTGTTGTGTTCATTTGGATTTCCCTTATTGCCGGGGAACTTGAGCATTTTTCATATGTTTGTTTGCCACTTGGGTTTGTTCTTTTGTGAAACGTCTGCCCATTTCCTGTGCCCATTTCTTGAGTGGCTTGTTTGTTTTGGTTTTTTGGTTGTTTTGGAGTTCTTTGTATATCCTGGAGATTAGCCCTCTATCTCCTACATAGTGTGCGAAGATCTTCTCCCATTCTGTGGGTTGCTTTTTTACTTTGCTGATTGTTTCCCTTGCTGTACAGAAGCTTCTTAGTTTGATGAAGTCCCATTTGTTTATTTTGGTCTTGATTGAACATCCAGAATTTTTCAGAATCTTACTTACATTGCGTTTTTATGTGCAAACTGAAATCCAAACATGATGTAAGTCCTCCAAATCATGAATTCTGGAGTTTCAGATCTCTGTGGGGAGTACTACATGGCATCATGCTGTCTGCTCGGCCCCCTGAATGGTATGTTCCTTTCAACAAAGCATGATCAGATCCAGAGACAGCTCTGTTGGGAAGCATCACAGGCTCACAAATCTAACCACCAGCATCGTCCTAGTCCAGCCTCACTTGCTGCCAGTGACTCTGAAATGTAACTACATCATCTCTAATTTTAAATTAAACCCTTTTGGGCCCAGCACAGTGGCCTAGCAGCTAAAGTCCTCGCCTTGAACTCGCTGAGATCCCATATAATCACTGGTTCTAATCCCGGCGGCGCTGCTTCCCATCCAGCCAGCCCCCTGCTTGTGGCCTGGGAAAGCAGTCGAGGATGGCCCAAAGCCTTGGGGCCCTGCAGCCGCATGGGAGACCCAGAAGAGCTCCTGGCTCCCAGCTTTGAATTGGCGCAGTACCGACTGTTGCAGTCACTTGGGAGTGATTCATTGAATGGAAGATCTTTCTCTCTGTCTCTCCTCTCTGTCTCTCTTCTCTGTATATCTGACTTGGAATAAAAATGAATAAATCTTTTTATTAAAAAATTAAGCCCACTTGATATACTATAGTTGTCACACTGAACCCAAATTCATTTTTCTGTTGTCATCACAATGCAAGATTAAAGCAACACAAACTGAGGCTGACACCATGGCATAGTAGGTTAAGCCTCTGCCCATAATGCCAGCATCTCATATGTCCCAAAGTTCATAGTCAAAGCTGCTCCACTTCTAATCCAACTTCCTGCTAATGTGCATAGGAAAGCAATGAAAGACGGCCCACATCCTTGGGCCCCTGTACCCATTTGGGAAATATAGGGACACTCTAGTCTCCTGGCTTCAGATTGGCCCAACTCCAATCATTGCTGCCATCTGGGGAGTGAACCAGATGGAAGCACTTGCACTCGCTCGCTCTCGCTCTCGCTCTCTCTCTCTCTCTCGTAAAACATTGTAAAGACTACAAATGATAAATTCGTCTGTGCTACGGCCTCATCAGCACACGGACTGAAGAGAAGACCCTGGGAAATAGATGTTTAGAAATCCAAGACTTTACTCCTCCTTAACAGTCTTTTTATTCCTACTTTGCTATAGGCAAAAAGTATGATGATAATGATTGTGAAAATCTCCAGCCATGAGCAACTCCAGGACAGGTTCCTGGCATGTCAAAGTCATAAAATAAGGCTTTCATATATTAATGAATTTGTGTGTGCAGATCCATGGGAGAATCTTCATTGTTTGATTAACAACAGGGCCTTCCTTTAAGTTGGATTTGTGACTTTTAGTTTCCATCAGTGTTTCAGAAAGCATTTCTAACGGAAATTATCTGCCTGATCAAAATGTGTCTTTCATAACTGCAACCCTTGTGCTATTTGCAGATGAATCAGTGAAGCAAATGTCAAAGTACATTCACAGAACAAATGAACAACGTCACAGAATTCATCTTGCTCGGCCTGACCCAGGATCCAGACATGCAGAAACTCCTGTTCGCTGTGTTTACAATCATCTACTTTCTCACCCTGGCAGGCAACATGCTCATTGTGGTGACAATCACTACCAGCCCAGCCCTGGGCTCCCCCATGTATTTTTTTCTGTCTTTCTTGTCCTTCATAGATGGCTGCTGCTCCTCTACAATGGCTCCCAAGATGATATTAGACTTACTAACGGGAAAACAAACTATCTCCTTCAGTGGGTGCCTGACTCAGCTCTTTGCAGAACATTTCTTTGGAGGAGTGGAGATCATCTTACTCACAGTGATGGCATATGACCGCTACCTGGCCATCTGCAAGCCCCTGCACTACATGATGACCATGAACACACAGATGTGTGGCCTCTTGGTGACCGTGGCCTGGGCTGGGGGATTTCTTCATGCTCTGATTCAAATTCTTTTCATAGCCTGGTTACCCTTCTGTGGCCCCAATGTCATTGATCATTTCATCTGTGATCTTTTCCCTCTGTTAAAGCTCTCTTGCACTGACACTCACATCTTTGGACTCTTTGTTGCAGCCAACAGTGGGCTGATGTGCGTGATCATCTTTTCCATTCTGATTACCTCTTACGTCCTCATCCTTTACTCCCTAAAGTCTCACAGCTTTGAAGAACAGCAAAAGGCTCTCTCCACCTGTGCCTCTCATATTACTGTAGTCGTCCTATTCTTTGTACCATGTATCTTTGTATATCTTCGGCCCATGATCACCTTTCCCATTGATAAAGCAGTGGCTGTGTTTTATACTATGGTAACACCCATGTTAAACCCTTTAATTTACACTCTTAGAAATTCAGAGGTGAAAAATGCCATGAAGAAGCTATGGAACCAGACCATAATCTTGGGAAACAACATGTGTGTCAACAGAGAAGATAAAGAAAAAAATCTGTCAATTTTTTAACATGTGTGACGAGTGGAAAGCACAAAGTTCTTAAAGTCAGAATGTGTGAGTTTCAATGTCTATTTCGCAAAAGATCGATAGTTGAATAAATGGTTACTAAGTCTCTATCTCGGTGTTTACAAATTATTGACCAAAGGGCCATTTCTAGCCAATATAAAAAAAGTTATAATACTTGGATGCTGAGTTTATTTGCTTAAGAAAAAACTCTATAAATCTTCAGGTATGCGTTATAGTACTAATACACTGCCCTACTAAAGTACTTAAACAAGAGACCTAACAATTAAGTGCTTAGATGGAAATACAGAGTTTTAAGCTTAAGCAATGGAGACAGTTTTGTCATTGTGACAAATAGAGACCAACCAGAAATGAAAGGATTTTAAGGAATGGGAGTCAATATGGTGTCACTTATCCCAAAATTAATGCTTCTGTGCTATGCAATTCCAGGGGCTCCATTTACCTTGGAATCCCACTTTTCCCAGAATACATCATTTTGACTTCCTAAAGCCAAGGAGTGTAAGACATTGACAACTAAAGCCTGAAAAAAAACCTTGGACATGACTTTTCTAAGCAGAAGATATTGTTTGGAGCACTTTATTCTTGAAATACGTTCTATGCACCTTTTCATCTCCAAAATAGATTTTTTTTTCTGGGGGAAAGAAGTAAACTTGTGCCTCCTTATTTAATGAGAACAAAAATAATTGACACAAGAAAGTTTGCAGAAGGAATTCAGGTTTCATTCAGGCAGAGCCAGCCTGGTAGGAATCAGGGTGCTTTTTCCCTGCTCCATCACTCGAAGACATATACAAAGATGGAAGGACATATACAAATAAGCTAGGATTACTGAGTCACTATATGGAAACAGCTGCCCTAGAGGATCACAGGACTATTCCCAGACAAGACAAAATCTCATACGTTAAACCACCCATAGGTCAGAATTCACTTATTACCACATCAAAACACAGCTTATCCTGACCACTGTATCTATTAGCTTTATCATCTAAAATATGTATAAACATTAAAGAAAGCATGTTAACATAACTTTCACAATTATAGTGGAATAGCTAAACGATGGAATGTGATCTTTAAAAATGCTTTATTGGACAATTTGACACTCAGGCAAACATCATTGAGTGTATTTACACAAATCCTGATGGCACAGCCTATGGCTCCTAGGTGATAAATCCATACAGCAGTTATTAATACTGACCACAACTGTAACACAGTGGTAAGTACTATAAACTGGGATTTATCTAAACATAGAAAAAGAACAGTGAAAGACAACATATAAAAAATAGTTCCCAGCTGTAAGCAATTATGTAGGTTACCTTGCACCTAGGCAAGTGTTATGCTGCTGGGAGAAAAGCAGCCAGTAGCTGGTGGACATTCTAGGCCTGGTTAATACCAAATGTGTATTAATTATACTAGTATTCCAGCATAGTTGCTTGTTGGGTGTTTTTTTTTTTTAAGATAAGTGGGGAAGGCAGGAAATGCCAGGCCTAGACATATCACCCCAGTTCCAAAATGCTCCAGATTGCCGAGGGAAGGAGGTCTAGGGATATATTAAAGTGGGAGCAGCTGAGAGCATGTTTCACAGGGAAGAAATAACTTCTGGGTCTCCCATGGACTGCACCATTGCACTCACAGATAGGCAAGGGAGCTGAGATCAAGTGGTCTTGAAGGGAGAAACCAGAGGGCATGTCTGGTCAGGCCAAGGCACCTGCCCATGCGGGAGATCTAAGCTGAACTAAATGGCATTGCCCACTACCCTCTGGTGCTTGCAAAAGTGGGAACTGGGGGCATGCCTGGCTGGAACAGACCAGAATACCTGCCCTGGCTAGGGCAAGTACAAACAGGTCCATGAACATTGGAGCAGAGAATGGGCCACATCAAGCTGAGCTGTAACACCCACCAGAACATGGGAGAACCAAATCTGGGGTCAGATTCAAAAAGGTGCATGGGGGCTTGCCTCTGTGGGAAGGCAACATCTGCTGATTTACAGAAATAGCAAGGGTAGTGATGGGCCAAGTCAAGTTGAACCACAAAACTCACCTGATAGGAACACATCTGACACTCATGAGAACTGGGGCTGGGAAAAGGCTGAGTAGGGCTAGGCTACAGCATCTATTGTGACATGCAAGAGCTGAGGGCCCCCATTGGCACATGTGTGATCCAGGACTGGGAGCAGGCCTGGTAGGGAAATCTGAGGAATTTCCTTGCCAGGTCATAGCTCCCATTAGGGAGCACAAGAGCCAAGGCTGGTGGTAGGCTAGATCAAGCAAGTCTGCGGCACTTGCCAGGGCTGTGTGTGCTGGTTCTGGAAGCCAGGTTGGGCCAGACCTCAGCATTCACTGGTATGTATGAGAGCAGGGACAGTGTGTTGGCCACACCCAGGTGAACTAGGCTGCAATACCCACTAGTGCCCCAACCAGCAGAGCCAGTAACTTGGACAGGGAGAGGGTCTGGGGATGAAGCGCCGATAGGAGACAGTGATGGTAGAAGTCTCTGCCAAGTCTCCCTTTATTGCTCCTTCACCTCTCCCTATTTACTCTTCCCTCCACATCCTCATTTAGCAGGATATTGGATACAGATGAGTCCAACTAGTCTAGGTGTTTTTAGCCACAAGCCCAGTTCCTGTTCCTGCTCAGCTCAACGAGCGCTAATCAACTCCTTAGCCCACAACACAGTAGCAAGAACTGATACTGCAGGTGGGCCAGGCCAGGCTAGGTTGAAGTACCCAGCACATGCAAGACCCAGGGCTATGAATGGCCCTGTTGGGGGAACTCTTGGAACTCCCCTGCTGGACTACAGATCTCACTGACAAATGCAAGAGCTGGAGTTGTAGGCAGCCCAGGCTGGGCCAGGGTACAGCACCACGTGGGCTGGATTTAGGGGCAGGCCAGACTGGAATAGGCTTCAGCACTGACTGACAATCATGACAGACAGAATGGCTGTGGGAAAGGTAAGGCTAGATCTGTGGCACCTGCCAAATCACATGAGAGCCAGGTCTGAGGGTTGGCCAGGCTGGGCTCGAATGTAGCACCCATTAGTGAGAGCTGGAATGGGTGTGGGCCAGTCAGCCTAGGCCACAGTACCCGATAATGAATGCCATGACTGTCAGTTTGGGTAGCAGTGCCTGCTGGCACACGTAGGAAAATTTGGGGAACGCCTCTGCTGGGCACAACTCCTTCATAAGAGTTGAGGCTGAGAGCAAACTAGACCAGGCTGGGCTACAGCACCCTTTAACATATATGTGAACCAGATATGGGAGCGGACCAGGCAGGGTGGGTCCACAGCACACTGGCACAAGTGAGACCTCAGACAGGGTGAAGGTCAGGCTGGAATGGACCACAACACCCACCAGTTTACATGACAGTTCATGTGGGTCAGGCTTGGCCAGACTGTTGCACCTGCTGGTGGGAGGTGAGACTGGGGGCACACCAGACTGAGCCAGGCTATAACATCTGCTGGTAAATGCCAAGACTGTGGATAGGCTATCTTAGAGTAGGCCACAGCACCTGCTGTTATGTGCAAGACACAGGGCTGATGGCAAGCCTTGTAGAGGAACTAAGGGGACTCCTTTGCTGAGCTACTGCTTCTACCAGTGAGCATGAGAGCTGGGACTTGGAGTAAGCCAATCTGGGGATGGACCAGGCTGGTACATGGGTGCAGACCAGCCAGGTTAGGTCACAGCACCAGCTGGCAAGTGCTGGGGGTGAATACAAATAGTATCAGGCTGGCCCACAATACCTCCTGGCAGGCATAATATCTAGAACTGGGAAAATGTCTGGCAAGGGAACCATTGGCACAGCCTCCTGCTAGGCTGTACCTATCACTGGTAAGCACAAGAATTAGGGCTGAGGGTAGACCAAGCTGGACAAGGCAGTAACACCTATCAACATATCTGAGGGCCAGGTCTGGGGGCAGGGCACAAAAGGCTAAGCTGCAGCGTCAACAGGTGTGCACAAGATCTGGACAGATACAGGATGGGCTGAGCTAGGCCACAGCAGAGTCTGGCATGTGCAGAAACCAGGCCTAGGGGCAGATTTAATGGCAGTTATTGGGGGCAAGGGATGCCCTGACTAGGCTGCAGGAACCACTGATATATTTCAGGACTACATCTGTGGCAGGATGGCTGAGCTGTGTCATTGCACCCATCAGTTCATATGAGGTATGGGGCTGAGGAAGAACAGACCAAGCAGGTTTGTCCACCATTATGTGCTGGTGCAGGTGACAGACCACACCTGACCCTGCACTGGCTGACACACGCAAGAGTCAACTCTGAAGTCACACCAGACAAGGATTCTTGGGGGACTCCATGACTAGACCACTAGACTCCGACCCTGGACACGGGGAACATCGACAGGTATATGGTCCTACCTCCCAGTGCATGTATCAGTAGTGGGCCTCCTCAGTTGCTGATATCTGTGCGGTGGACACTATGTCCAGATGCACAAGTGGGCCATGATGGCCAGCTCATACATAGGCCAGCAGCAGACGTCAACTGTCTCCTTAGAGAATGGAAAGCAAAACAGGCTGGACAATTACCCTGGCTGTGGACAATTTTTATTGTCAAGTCCTTCCAAATTACATCACCTAAGTCTCAGCCTAGCTCACAGCCACAGATACAGCCTTAACTCAGGCTGAAGTGCATTTGTGTAACTAGCACCTAATGATGTATATGGTTTCCAAGAGAGAGTAAGTAAAAGACTGAAAGTTAATTTGGTAAAAATGACAAATGGTCAATTACTAAATCCCTAGGCATTTGAGAGCTCACCATAGTATCAAATCTTGTGGTCTGTGAGAGTATATTTAAACAAATCTCTAAAGTCAGCAATGAAAGAAATACAGAGCAGGAACTGGGACCGAATAACAGCAGCAGAGTCTGAACCAACAACCCAAACATGGGTTTCAGAGTTTGGTGAGTTTCTTGGGAACTAGAGTTGAAAGGACTTGAACTGGGAACAAAAGAAACTCTCTGATTATGTTGTTCTTGGCCTGGA